GAACTTTGTCTTAATCTTGGATTGTGAAATGTCCCCATGCCTGTAAAAGCTTTTCTCCCCGTTGATTATGTACATTGTGATGGTTAGCGTGTAGGAATTTTTAACTGAAATGTGAGCTCCAGTGCTTGCAAACGTTATACACAATACAATACAACTAGAGGAGAGAAATCCAGAGCAATTCGTCAAGCGACTTCTGGTGTTGGGTGCGTCCCAGTGGTTCATCACGTTCTCCTCCCTAGCGAGTGTTTAAGTTGCGCACTCATGCAGAATAGCCGGGGGATAGGGATGAATGTGTGAATACCTTAAATCTGCACAGAAAAAGTATTCGGTATAGCCACTTTGAATTCGTTATCCCCTAACTGATCACCGTTCGAAACTGATACTATTGGCTGTGGCAAACCTGTGTTCTCGTAGCAGTCAGGATGGTAGCGAATCACGGCTCGCGAATCGCAGTCGCAAAATGAAAAACGAAATGACATGAGTAATCGTAGGCAGGAATCTGCGGTCACCGAGATACAGGAAAACGGTCGAAGACGTGACAGTCTATCAATTGAAAACAATCAATGGGATTAAATTAGATGTAAATATGAATATTGTTAAGTTCGCCGGACATCAACCAATCACCGTATTTGTTCTCTGAGTTACACAGCCTCTGCTTGATTTATATGACCTTTGATTGGTCAATGCTTCCGGCCAATGGTTCGATGTCCAGAAACGAGAACGTGTAGGTGCTCGACTGGTGTCATTTTGGAGAGTTGATTCAGTGCAGTAATCCATTCTCAACTGCCAATTATGTAATTTGCAAACGTCGTAAGAATAAATTCGGGGGGGGGGATGATTAATTCTTTAAAGTTCAGGACAGTTCTTGAGCGAAATCATTGTTGTTATTAAAAAAAGAGATTGGAACATATAAGAACATGACAATGTCAATTAAACTCAATTGTATGCCAATGTGCATCAGAGAAAGTTCATCAGGGGGAGGACAAGGGTGATAAGGATACGTGATGTTGGGTCTGTGATGTGCAACTGTTAAAGAAAATACCCGAAGCATTGCCAAGTACGGATATGCTTCCACAGGGTGGTGAAACAAGCCGGTATGTTGAGTTTACAGGTAAGGAGGCGACACACGGGAATACAACAACTGACAAGCGTGTGGACCACACAGTTCGGGAAGGTCAAAATGATTGATTCACGAGGGAGTAAAACCAAAACATATTTCGGTTTGATAACGCTCTAACGCTCTAAAGGATATAACCATAGTAACGGCAAATAATACACAAAGAAAAGAGGATTAATTGAGCAAATTTGTGACATAGACAGTGCCAAGAATTACCTCATCAAAATTAAGGTATATTTATTTGTGACTATGGTTAATCGACCTGTCGATAGTGGAACAAAATCCTAGTTGTTTCCCATGATCAAGTGCTTCCACCATGCAGCTCTCCACATAAGTATGTACGTCAGACATTTAGCTGTCTTGTGCAATTTACAGCTATAATATTCTATAAAGTAGTCACGTTGCACAAGATACCTGATCGAATGAGGAATCAAGAATCACAAATGAAAGGGAAATATAGCACTCGCACACGAATGTTTCAGGCATCGTTTTTTCCTGGAGTAACATCTATTTGGTTTCTTCCTGTTTGTTATTTTTTTATTGTCGAGATCTGCTTTTGATTGGTTACACGACTTTTGTCTTTATCTGGTCTGAAACGTATGATATCCGCATTTCGCTGCAGTTCTATGAAACGTCTCAAATGTTATTTTGCCACCAAGTTCTTCAATGCTTTCTTGTTCCCCAGACTAATGTATAAACAAAGGTAAGCCACAAATATTTCAACTCTTCATCAGAATGCTAAGCCCGTTTTAACAACAAAGGATACGAATTTTAAAATGATGGTCTAACATCTAACCGTTCGACTGTTTCTCCGGGAGAACATCCAATAACTATTTGTCCAGTACAAGCAAAGGTAATTTATGCGCTAATCTCGCTAGGTTTTCCGCGAACTCATTGGTAGACTTTGTTGAGTCTAACAGATTCATCTGTTTGTAAACAAAGGATTGGAAAAACATGTCGTATAGCCCCACGTTCTTCCACCGATAGCGACTCATCTAAGTTGATGCAAGGTTTTGCCCTAGGTCATCCAGATGGTCCACTATAGATTTTGGGATAGTTTAAGGAATTCTTACTTCATTCATCAATTATATCAACAAAAAATAGCGTCACAGCCAGCACCAAACGAAACTCAGTCAGCTTGTTAAGTCCACGCAGTACGATTCGGTCCTCGGTCAGTTTGAATGGTCCTATTCGAGTGTCAAAAATCATTTTAAATAGCACACAATGCAGCGAGCAAAAATTGATTTCACTGATTTGTCTTTTTTGGTTAATAAATCATTAGTTACGAAAACCCGACCAAAAATGAATTTCGTTGAAACCACGTAAAAGAATAAAGAATATATTTGGAAATTATAGGTAACATTTACTGATTTTGATATATTAGTCATTGGGGAGCAATTAAACTAATTTGTTCGTGCATATTCCCGAGTTTCCCCCGAACCACGGGATTTGGGAACAAACTAGGTGCTTAATATTTAGCAAAAGCACCAAACTGCAGTCTGCATAAAGAGATCAACACTCTTCACTGGACAAAATTAGTTGTAGGTAAGTGAGAAGCAATTTGGAGCGAGTAACCCATGCGTCCACATACGTCAGCCACACATGCCGTCTGTTCACATCACTCTCCTTATCGGTTACCAATTTCCCACATGATTTGGGAACACGCGAACGACGAAATAGTTTGACAGATCATCGATAAACCTTCTAAATTTGACAACCCCATATTAATCATTATTGGACCTCATATTTATCTCTTTTTTCACGCACCCACTCCAGAATTTATTTCTACAGATGTTTACATTTCATGGAGTAGATTCTTTTAATAAAATCCATTAATATGAGGCAGCTGTTTAAAGAAATCAAAATGCAGCAGGATTTATGATGACGTTTTTTTGGAATCAAGGTTGGCTGTTATCGTGACTATTCGTTCTGTGGAATGGAGAACCAGAGAACATTTTCAACAATCTGATCATGTGAGTATTTCATGAAATATTTCTTTTTTACACTCTTTTCGGAATCCAGATCATTTTTCCACTGAGTGAGAATGAGGATAGTCTGTTATTTTCGGGCAAGTTCCAATATTTTACTCATATCCGGATTGTCGGATGGGACATCCGCGTAATTAGGGATGTATCCTTTGGTTGGACAGTAGTTTAAAAGCTTCAACAATTTAACTGTTTCACACGATTTGTTCAATACATCCACCGGAATCGGCGAGGATGGCAAAGACCAGGCAGCAAGCGAATTGTTGTGTACCGATTTAAGAAATTGCACCGTGCTGGGTTCGTATCTGGATTGATGGAGATGTGCAGAGGGAGAGAGAGCAAAGAGACAGAGGGAGGAGAAATGCAATGAGTGTACGACTGTATGAAATTCATGTTCAGCGTGAACCAAGCAGAACACTTCCATAGTACTCCGAAGACTAGATTACCGAATCATTTATGATAGTGTGTCGTCGTACGACACAACACTAAAAGTAGGAGAGGCAAGATATTTTATTCAAACTTGTGTGCTTTCTTTCCGAAGATAATAGGTTGCAGAAAATATTTTGTGAATTTTGAAAGTGTTTTCTCTCCAGGACTAAACGGACGGACAATTTTTCGCACTAAATCAAGGTGGAATTCATCAACCACCAAACTGAAGCAAGCCTTTCCCGAGATTGATTTCAAAGTAAAAGACCATATTGCAATACTGCATGATTTATGTCCAGGACGATTTCGCCTCATCTTAACATGGTGCATACTGCAAAATACAATGTTTATATAGGGCTTAAGTATGGCAACAAAGTAAAGCAAAATACAATAAAACAGACAAAAGATGAAAAGTAGGGCGGAAAAAAGACCATATCATCAGGGAAGGGATAGACTAACACAAAGTTCTTTTTGCTGACACAGGAGATGTCCATCGATTATTAGCAATCGCTTCAGCAAACCTCAACAATCTTGCAACTCGTGACTTCTAGACGATCTGAAACGCTGTGCTTCGGTCCATCTGGTATAACGTCAGCAGCAGATATCGATCAATGGCTGAGGACGGAGTCTTGTAGTTTCGAGGGTCGTTTCTATGCAGCGGACTTGACTTAAATAAAAGTATCAAATTCTGCAGTATGCACCATGTTGAGATGCTGTTGAGATGTTGAGATGTGACGAAATCGTCCTGGACGTAAATCGTGCAATGTTGTAATATGGTCTTTTCTTTTGAAATCAATAAACTGCCCTATTCGATCTCAACGTGACCAAAAATCGACTTTCCGTACTCAGAAGATCAATGAGCGCACAAACCCACGTCTATAGTCTCACATTCGACTTGGAATGGATGGGGTACTGACACCCAAAAAGTTCACATCTCAAAAACGATTGCCACATTTCGTGCCAAAAATCTGCTAAAAGCAATAAACAACCGAGGAGGACCGATGAGCATCATTTATTCACATGCAAGCCAAATTGTACGCAGCGCGTAACATGTGTGCTCCCTCTCACATCACCCTGAAGTGCGTTTTTCGTGATCTCTCCTGGGTGAATCACATAGCAATAAGTTGTATAATTTCTATCTTCAGTTAACTGATTTCTCTTCTATAGACCGCTGACAAAAACCTGTCTGATTGACGACCGTAAAGCGAAGCACCTTGGAATCATCCCTGCAGTCGACACCCGCCTCCTTTGTCATGTTTTTATTCTAACTTTGTAAAATAAAAAAGTCCATCACAGAATTATGACTAGTCAGTGCGAAATGAAATTGTTCCGATCTGACAGAGATGAATGATTGGTACAGAACTGTGGTAACTGAGTCCCATGAGGACGCAAGTGAACCGACATCAACTGTGATTGGTTTAACAAAATAAAACGCTCACAGGTGATGAGTAACGGTGTTTGTGGATCCCACAGCTCAGTATAAATGATCAAACTGCTCTCTGTCGTCATCTTCTCCTTGAAGTTCTGTAGAACACCTGTTTTCACGCACACACACACACAAGGCATATGGAGAACTGTCAACCATCGACTTCTGAGATAGATGCAGATGATCAACAGTTAGAAGTAGAAAACGCAGATATTTAGAGCCGTACGTGAGATATTAGTTTCAAAAATCAGTTTCAATGAGGCCCGGATAAAGTGCTGATAGATGAGCATGCAGTTCACTTTTCCAACAACAACAACGAAAACAAAAACAACAACAACAATTAATTGTAGGCAAACACGGTATCGAAGGCTTATCTATAAGAACGTATCTATCCAATTGTGGTACTAGTCATCACGTGATCTACGAACTAATTCATCTCACAAATCTCAGTGAAGATTCATTCCCGGAATACATTTATTTCGGAATCTACTCCCAACTGACAAAGAAATTCAAATGTTATTCATGAATTGACGCCTTCAACCCCCACGATTTCAGTGTGACTGAAATTAGAATTTCTGTACTCATTTAGATAATTGTATGAAATTTTACACACAGTCCCATTTTGAGATTCAAAACGCATAGAAACAGACTATAGTCCACATCTCGAACTCGTTACATTCCATGCGAAATCTGTATCTGTAATTTAGAACCAAAGAGAATCACGGATGAAGCATCGATTGCACGTTATGGTTCATGGATTGCACGATACACGTTTATTTTCGGAATTCACTCGTTTTGACGCGCGTGAATGCGTCACATCGTGCAAAATGTGCCGATCTTTGTGCAAAAGGTGAGGAATAAAAGGAAAAAATACTGTGAACGCCAACCCGGAAACCGGGAGCTGGACACGAAACATTCGTCCAAATTATTTGCACTAAAGTGGGTACTGGGGAGATTACAGTAGGGTAACAGTCTTGCAAGTCTAAATCAATTCGGAACAATAGTGAAATGGGAGGAAAGTGGAAAATGTGTCCGTCAGTCTTTCTCGAGACTTACGTGTTTAGATTGGTTAATTGGTCTTTGATTGTCTCATGGTGCAATACAATCGGATCCCACGGAACACCGATAAAATCTGCAAATTTCAATCAACATATGCAGATATGAATCTACTCCAGCTTGATCATCGAATTCAGGTATATCGCATCAAAAACTGAACACTGTTGTTGGTGTTCTGTTCTCCGAGCTGGGCGATGCTGTTCGCAGACGTTTCGTAGTCAGGCTAGGCAAAATCATCGGTGCAAATTCAAGGAAGTGACAGTCCTCAGTATGACCGTGTTTATATAGTTTTGTTCGAGAGTT